GCCATGATCAGAATCTGAGCACTCTCTCTCTTCCCTGGGCAGCATCCAAATAGGACATTTCTCAGTGTTGCCTTCTCTGGACCCCAGCTGGCTCCCAGGTGGCTCTGCAGTTGCCAGGCCCCTGCACAAGCGGCCAACATCCATGTCCATCAAAGGCAACTCTTGACCATTGGGTATTTGTCTGTGAATCACTTGCACCCTTGACGCCTGCCCCTCCATAGCAAGTGATATGCTTGTGAGGAGGCCTGATTCAGTCTCCCTGCAGGACCCAACGAGGGACGGGGCAGAGGGAGAGAGGGGCATCCATCGGACAAACCCGAGGTCCTGGAGTGTGGGGAACTTTGCGGGATTCACCTGGAGACTACCACAGGGTAATTTTCAGAAAGTTACAAACCTAGACCACTTACAGATACAGAAGGAGCATCTGATTTCCTCAACTCTGTAAAGAGAAAACCAGCAGCTGGTGATGCTGGCCAGAGGAGAACTGGAGGAATCATGGTTACTGGGCATGAGGGGAAATTTCAGGTCAGTTACAAAACTGGTTCAGTTCCTAGAGAGCAGGAAAACCACAGCCTCTGGGGAGATCTTTTCTGCTGCACAGAAATCACCGGCATCTCCCCTGGTCAAAAAGCTCCACAAGTTAACAGTAACCTTAGAGCCTGGCCTTTAATCGGTAACAAAGACCGAGTCAAACAGAGGCACATTCCCTAGATAACTCCGTTACCAGCAGAGGCCTGAAGAGCGATGTTCCAAAATGGTGGTGGAAGCTCTGCTGATCTCCCTGTGCCTTTTTCCAAATTTCAAGCAAATTTTTTTTTTCTGGACAGAGTCACAGAGGAGAGCAAGAAGGAAGGAACAAGGCCTGGGGGTGGGAGTAAAACAGCCTCCTTCACTGAGGCACAGTGGGTCCCCCAGAGCTCACCCCCTCTGTACCCCCCACACACCCCTGCCCAGCTACCCCATCACACAGAGGCCCAGAAGGAGTTGGCAGAGGGCACTGATTGGCTGCCATCCACACTGCCACACTCTTGGGGCACCATCTGTCCCCAGGTCTTGATGAGTTCTGTCCCTGATATTTTTGCAGATTTTACAAATGCATCTAATGGTCTAAGTGTACAAACCACGTAGGAGAAGGAGGGTCCCTCCTAGAACGCACATGGGATGTTACTGCCAGGCCTGCCCTCTTTGCCTCCATGTCCACCAGGCCACAGGGGGCAGGCAGTCCTCACGCTGTCCCACGTCCTGTGTGAGCAGATGGGATTGTTAGGTGGTGAAGGCTCTTACAGGTAGGAACCGGCTGGGCTGGGACAGCACTCACATCCTCTGAGACCAGGACTGGGCTCCTTTGTCTGCGCAGCGCCCCGGGCTCCTTCCCAGGTCCGTGGCTCTGAGCTCCGGCTGCTGCTGTCCATCCGGCCCTAGATGGCCCACTCCTGGTCCCAGCAGGGTCACCCCTTATACCTTGACGTAGTTTGGATGTCTGTTGCCTCCAAATCTCATGTAGAAATTGGATCCTCAATGTTGGTGGTGGGACCTGCTGGGAGGTGCTTGGGCACATCCCTCGTGAATGGCTTGGTGCCGTCCTTGAGGTAATGAGAGAGTTTCCCCCTGCAAGACTGAGTGTTAAAAAGTGCCTGGCCCCTCCCCCCCGGCCTCTCCTCTCTGTGTCTCTCTTCTCCCCGTCTCATCTCTCTCCTCTGTCTCTCTCCCTCTCACCCTTCCCCCTTCTCTCTTTCTCATGCTCTCTCGTGCGCATACTCTCTCTCTCCCTCTCTCCTGCACAAGAAGCACCATGCTTCTACAGCCTACAGAACTGTGAGCCAAATAAACCTCTTTATAAATTAGCCAGCCTCAGGTAACACAGACGGACTTTTATCCCAACACAAGCAGACTGAGACAGACCTTGCTCCCCACCAACCTGCAGGGGCCCCACGGCCCCGCCTGGGATTGTCCTCAGCTCTACTCTTGCTGCTTCTTAACAGAGAAAAGTAATTTCTTTAATATCCTATAGTAAACGCCATGCATTTTTGTTGTAGAAAAAAATAGAAAATTCAAATAAACAGAAAGAACAAAATAACAAGACCTGTGATCACAAGACCTTGTTATTATCCTTGATGGCCATGACTGGTCACCAGGAAGACTGGTCACCAGGAAGACCGGCCACGTATCCCTGCAAAGAGGACAGCAAGGCAGAGGGCAAGGGCTCCTGTGAATCGTGAGCCTGGGCAGCATCTGAGAACACACGAATTGCCTGGCTCTGCCCCGATGCCTCAAGCTCCATGGTCTCCCGTGTTCCCAGTGCTCCTGCACTCCAGACCCGGAAAGCACTGGGCATTCGGAACTCCCCGTGACCTGTAAGAGAACGCAGCAGGCCCTACGGCAGTGGGCTCATTTCTAGAAAAGGCCGGGAAAGGTGGTGTACAGTGAGACCCCGTGTATGAACGTGGGGTGTGTGTTCTCCTGTAACATCTTAGCCAAAAGACATGAAATGCTGGAGAGGAACAATGAAGCTTGCTTTGCATTTTATTTCAGTTCGGCGTGTTTAGAGGCGAAAAGAAAGGAAGAGATTAGGACAGGCAGATTGAAAAGAGATAACATTAAAACAAATTAAATTTTAATATAAATAGAAATGCACTTAGAAATAGACCTGTGCATAGAAACACATATGCACGATGTGTCTCTAGGCCCAAAGAGGAAGCAGCTCTGTACACAGCACAGGTGGGCGTCACCCCCACCGCACTGCACCCAAGCTGGGCGCATGCTACTACTGATGCTCGTCTGCTCCTGACATCTGAGTCCTTGAGGCTGCCTCTCACCTGTCTATCAGGAAAGACAATTCAAGATGTTCCAAAAGTGCTGTCTTTCCTATGACACTCACATCCCGGAAGACCAGAAGAGACCCATGGAGCTGTAAGTCCATGCGGCCACTGGGAGCCCCTGGAAGGCTGGGCTGCGGTCTTCTCTAGCCTGCTGTTCCTCATGGCTCATGACTTCATGTCTCTGGGGTGGAGGGACGGAAGGGCAATTTCTTTTTTCTTTTTTATTTTGAGACGGAGTTTTGCTCGTTACCCAGGCTGAAGTGCAATGGCACGATCTTGGCTCACCACAACCTCCGCTTCCTGGGTTCAAGCAATTCTCCCGAGTAGCTGGGACTACAGGCGCGCGCCACCATGCCCAGCTAGTTTTTGTATGTTTAGTAGAGATGTGGTTTCACCATGTTGACCAGGATGGTCTCGCTCTCTTGGCCTCATGATCTACCTGCCTCGGCCTCCCAAAATGCTGGGGTTATACGGACGGGCAATTTCTTATGGAGTCTTCCTAGCACATAAGAAAGAAGTACGTTCAGTCAGGATATGTGTATTAAGCTCAAGTGGTAAAAGATGCTTCACATCCCAATCCTGGTTCCTTTGTTAGTTGGGGATTTGAGAAGAGAAACAAGGAAGCAGGGTAGGGCCTCGGCAGACGGAGCAGAGTGGGCATGACGGGGATGGCACACAGAGGGAGACCACGGGCGGGGCACAGGAGGGAGAGGAGGTAGCTAGGAACAGCAGAGATTTCCCAGGCAAGTCCCATTGCCTCCGCTGCCTGAAGGCAGGGCAGGAGTCTCCAGCTCCTGGAACACACATTGGCTAAGTCAGAGGAACCAGAGGGAAAAGAAGTTTGAGGTCTTAGAGTTTCATGGCCTCATTCTGTTCAGGGCAGAAATACTGAAGTCCCTACCACCTACCCAGCAAGCCATGGGAGGTACGACCTGGCTTCTGCTGTTGGACATTGGAGATACAGTTAGCCTCTTGAATCATACCTAACATTACATGTCAAATAGATACATCCATTTTTTAAATTTTTAACTATTGTAAAGCACAAAATGTACCATCTTCACTATTTTTCATTTGCGGTTCAGCAGCGTTGTCTATTCACATTCTCATGCCTCTAACCTCCAGAGCTTTTCATTTCGCAAAATAGAAACTCCACCCATTAAATCCTTCTCTATTAGACACGTCTGTTTAATAATTAGTTTCTTTAAGAGAATTTTATCTTCTGCTTTTGTTCCTGTTTGGCTACTTTCTTCTTCAAGTCTCCTTTCTCTGTCTCCCTCTTCCCTCTCTGTCTCCACAGACACACACACACACACACACACACACACACATACACACACACCCCCATGAACAGACACATGCAAACAATGCAACACACCTTATCCTTCAGGATGTATTGCCACCAGCCCTCTCTCTTTGTGACCATCGTTTACATGCACCGTGATATGGTTTGGGTGGGTGAAATTTGTCCCCACCCAAATTTCATCTTGAATCGTAATAATCCTCACATGTCAAGGGCAGGGTCAGGTAGAGATAATTGAATCAAGGCGGTGGTTCCCCCCTACTGTTCTTGTGATAGTGAATAGTTCTCACGAGAGCTGATGGTTTTATAAATGGGAGTTCCCTGCCTGCTGCCATGTAAGACATGACTTTGCTCCTCATTCACCTTCTGCCATGATTATGAGGTCTCCTCAACCATGTGGAACTGAGTCAGTTAAACCCCTTCTCTTTATAAATTATCCAGTATCAGGTATGTCTGTCAGCAGTGTGAGAACAGACTAATACACATAGGAAGATACACAAATCCCCCAATTTATAGAGGTCCCACAGGGGAGGGCTACTATTTCTGCCACAGGGGTCCCCCAGCCCAAATGACCCGTCCACTCAGGACTCTTAAGAGCCTCAGGCCCAAGGAAGCATCCAGAAGGAACCCGCTGAGTTAGCATCCAATGGATGCAGACCTCTGTAAGGGACTGTTACCTAAGCAAAAGGCATTCCTCCTCTGATTTGCTATAGAGAATGGAATCAGACCTCACCCTATCCTTTGTACTTGGTGACCGGTAGACCATCAAGCTAACCAAAGGTGCATGGCCGCACTTGGTGCCAGGAAAGAGGAGCTGAACATGCCCATCTTCTGTCCCCAATGCTATGAAATTAAAACACCAAACGCCAAGCAGAGAGGCATGCATGGAGAAAGCGTGCTGGGAACAGCCTCCACTTGCCATTGCTTTATTGTCGTGGATAAAGTAGTCGCAGAGGTTGGAGGGATGCCCCAAAACACCATTAGGCATCTTCACACTTTTTCTCCATCACAGTGAATTCGCCATTCCAGGGAAGTGCTCCTACCAAAAAGCTGCAGCTTAATTTCTGAAAAAGACGACAACAACAAAAATCAGTAGAGCACCAAAAGAAAGAGAAAAATTGTCCTGTTGCTAGGTGCCAGTTTAGGAGTATGCCCAGAGATGGGTCGCCACCCTCCAGGGATGCTCCCAGGAATCTGCAGAGCTGGAGGCTGCGGACTTCACAGCCATCAGCAGTTGCCCAGAGGGATCTCTGTTCTAATTAACCACAGGTAGACAGGAAACGTTAATTATCATAACATTATGGTGGCAGTTCAGATGTGAACTTGACATTATATTCAATTCTCTTTAATACTTTCTACAATGTAAATAAGACAATTCGAATTGGTAACTAAAGGGCGTTATTTTAATGATTAAATAATCCATTTTATTTTATTTTATTTTTGAGACAGAATCTCACTCTGTCACCCAGGCTGCAGTGCAGTAGCGCGATCTTGGCTCACTGCAACCTCCATCTCCCGGGTTCAAGTGATTCTCCTGCTCAGCCTCCTGAGTAGCTGGGATTACAGGCACCCACCAGCTATGCCAGGCTCACTTTTGTATTTTTAGCAGAGACAGGGTTTCATTACATTGGTCAAGCTGATCTTGAACTTCTGACCTCTGACCTCATGATCTACCCACCTTGGCCTCCCAAAGTGCTGGGATTACAGGCGTGAGCCACTGTGCCCGGCCTAAATAATTTATTTTAATGTTGGGAAGGTTGTGGACAAAAGGGAATGCTTATACACTGCTGGTGGGAGTGTGAATTAGTGCAGCCATTGTGAAAAGCAGTGTGGTGATTCCTCAAAGAATTAAAAACAGAATTACCATTCAACCCAGGAATCCCATTATTGGCTACCTACCCTAAGGAATACAAATTTTTCTACCATGAAGACACATGCACATGTATGTTCACTGCATCGCTATTCACAGTAGCAAAGACATTGAGTCAGCCTAAGGCCTGTTGATGGTGGACTGGATTAAAATAATGTGGTACATATAAACCATGGAATGCTACATTGTCATAAAAAAGAATGAAATCATGTCCTTTGGAGTAACATGGAGCTTCAGGTCATTATCCTAAGCAAACTAATGCAGGAACAGAAAACCAAATACTACATGTTCTCACTTAAAAGGGGGAGCTAAACAACGAGAACACATAGAAAGAGAGGAACGACAGGCCCTGGGGGCTCCTGGAGAATGGAGGGCCGGGGAAGGACAGGATCAGAAAAAGTACCGTATCGAGTACTCTGCTTACCACCTCGGTGATGGAACAACCTGTACACCAAACCCCTGTGACACGAATTTACTTATAAAATAAACCTGCATGTGTACCCCTGAACCCCAAATAAAAATCTTTTTTTAAATCCCTTTTGTTCTAATAACAAGTCAAGAGCAATTTAGAAAATTCTAGGGCCTAACATATCTTTTCTTCCAAAGAACTTTGCTTTTCTTTCAAAACGTCAAAATATTGAAACAACAAATAAAATACCCTATGTGTGAGGGACAGATTAATGGATGGATGGATGGATGGGTAGATGGATGGGTAGAGAGAGATAGTGGTCCTGGACAAAGTGCAAAGGCCATCTCAAATAGACTGAAATCCCTGGGGACTTCCAGGAGTTAAGAGACAGACAAAGTCAGAAAGAAGACAGTTTAGTTCCTGCTGAGTATTGAAAATATTCAACAAATAATACCAGGTACCAAATCAAGATTATTTTATAGGCAAATCACATCAAATTTGGGGACCCAAAAGCATCTGCGGACTTCAGACTGATGCAGAACACAGAAGATAATGAAAAACCCTCAGTCTCGTTGTACTAGACCAGCAAAATCCTGAAACTCAGATGTAACTGAGAAATTATAACCCAAACTTATCTAGTAAATAGCAAAAATCCTGAACAAAAAATAGCAAATGAAAATCGGTTGCTCATTAAACGATTACTGTCCCTAATGTAGTACTTTCCAGACTTTTTCAGTCATATAACATATGTGGGTGTTTGAAGTGGGAAATTCTGATTGAGTAGATTTGGGATGAGTGCATGGAACTTGTATGTGTGTATACAAGTATGTACATGCATGCATGTGTGTGTATGTGTAGATGTGTGTATGTGTAGATGTGTGTATGTTTACCCCATACTCCAAGAGATTCTTAATATCAGAAGAGTTTGAGAGTAGCTAATACATACAAAAGCAAAATTGCTGTCAAGAGCAGTGGCTCAGGCCTGTAATTCCAACACTCTGGGAGGCCAAGGCAGGAGGATCACTTGAGGCCAGGAGTTTGAGACCAGCCTGAGCAACATAGTGAGACCTTGTCTCTACTAAAAATAAAATAATTAGCCTGGCCTGGTGGTACGTGCCTATGTTCCCAGCTACTTAAGAGAAGGAGGTGGAAAGATTGCGTGAGCCCAAGAGTTTGAGGTTGCAGTAAACTATAATGGCATCACTGCACTCCGCTGAGGGCAACAGAGCAAGACCCTATCTCAGCAAAATAAATAAATAAATGCAAAATTTCTAAATTAAAAAAGTGCCATATTGAACCCAACTATATTCTTTTTTTTTTTTTTTTTTTTTTTTTGAAAGGGAGTTTCACTCATGTTACCCAGGCTGGAGTGCAATGGCGCGATCTCGGCTCACCGCAACCTCCGCCTCCCGGGTTCAGGCAATTCTCCTGCCTCAGCCTCCTGAGTCGCTGGGATTACAGGCACGCGCCACCATGCCCAGCTAATTTTTTGTATTTTTAGTAGAGACGGGGTTTCACCATGTTGACCAGGATGGTCTCGATCTCTTGACCTCGTGATCCACCCGCCTTGGCCTCCCAAAGTGCTGGGATTACAGGCTTGAGCCACCGCGCCCGGCCCCCCAACTATATTCTAAACAAGCGCGGACTGAATCCTTCACATTCTTATTCTGCAGTCTGAGCCCAGCAGACTGGCTCCCACAAGGAGGGGTGGTGAGAAGAAGGGCCATTCTGCCATCAACAAGGTGGGGACCAGGAAGTGCCTGTAAACATTCACAATGGCATCCAGGGAGTGGCCATCTTGAACAAATGTGCCCCTCGGGCACTTAAAGCGTCCAGTAATTTGCCATGTGAGAAATGGGAAAACAGATGTGTACATCTACAAAGCTGGCCAGTCCAAAAGAAAAATGTCCACAAAATGTACTGATGATGAAGTTTCACCAAACAAGCGTGGTCTGTTGGTTACCTACGTACCTGTCTCCTCTTTCAAAAACCTACGGACAGTCGATGTAGATGAGAGCTGACCACTGACAATCAAATGAAGTTATAAAACCGCCACACATGCACACAAAGATGAGTGCATCACATTCCAGGTGTGTAAACGCACCTCATCATTAGGGAACCTACTAATTTAACTAATTACACTACTAGGTCCAAGAGGAAAAATTATTCAATGTACTTGGTAGATACTCAAAGAATATTTGATAGAATAAAACAATCTTAATTTAAAGACTCTCGATACAGAGAGAATTGGAAGAACATCTAAAATCAATGCTTGATGTAATAGTTAATAAGAGTATACAAATACTGAAGACAGTTCCAGTAAAGCTGGGAACAAGAAACACTGTCCAGTATTGTTACTCTTCAGCATTATTTATTTCAAAGGCTTGGAAAAAGAGAAAGTTGTTATGGGCAAACGTCTGCTTAAACATGTATGTCTTAAAAACCGAGAGGTATCTTGGAAATCTTAGACCCAAATGGGTTCCTTGAGAACAATTTTCTTTAATGAGTTTTAATATTTTCTACAAACTGGCAAAAGCAAAAACTGTCCTACAATCCCTAAAAGCCCGGGAGAAAATATAAATTTAAAACAACCATACTCCTAATACCAGTAAAAGATAAAACAAACATAAAAGATCAGATGGCAGTTGGAAAAGCTCACTGCTGACATGTTTGTCCTGATGGGCCATCTACTGTGAGCTGAAAACAACAGGGTCCGTTTCATCCGAGCATACAGAGGCAGTTTTCAGCAAACACAATGGCAGTGTGGTTCATAAAAGCATTTGCCATTTCCTGTGCCACGGCAACGCATAAAGCAGCGGTTCTCAAAGTCATCGCTCGGCCAGCAGCAGCACCACCACTGAGAACACACTGAGAATACAAATTCTTAGACCTCATTTCCTGACCCACTGAATCGGAAACTGCAGGTGGAACCCGGTCCTCAGTGTTTGTCAACACCTCCGGGTGATTGTGACGCCTGTTCATATTGGAATACCACCGATGTAAAGTCAGGGGCGGTGATGCAGCTGTTGGGCCAACCCATAGAATGCTCGGGGCATTCATCAGTCTGGGACGAGTCCTGGCGCATGAGCTGCCTGAGCTCTTTGCAAATCCGAGATAAAAAATACAGGCCTGAGGCCAAAAGCCCCTGGGCCAATTCATTTGTTTGTTGAGAGTCTTTGGGTTTGCCCCACCTTCCTGGAAACCCCGGTTGACCCCAGCAATAATCAACTGTAAACCCAGGAGGCTGGGGCCACCAACTGGCTTAGTGATTGCTTAATCCCCAGCACTCAGAATAGACCCAGTGCAAAGCACATAGCACCTGGTGCTAAGTAAGTTTCTATGAGTGGAAGAGTGAATGAATGAACTTCCTTTTGTGCCTGTACAGGGATGAGTAACTGTGGGCCCAGCAATAGTGGGTGGTCGATCTGGACCCAAGAGGACAGACTTCTGGTGATTATGTGTTGCCCAGTGTGCTGGCATCAAAAAGTCAGACGTCAATGGGGCCCTTGAGATAAGAGTACCCTTGACAACATCCTTTCCCCAGAATGAGGGATGAGAAAAAACTTCAGAGGTCTCCACCACGTTCCATGGCCCTGTGTCTTCTGCTCTAAAGGCCACAGGGTTGGCTATCTGCAGCTAAACATTGGGAGCTACCCAGACCTCCAGAAGAAGGTCTGGGCACCTGAGCTTTCTCCTCTGGGGCTAAGAACTGCCCAGGCCGTCACAGACAGGTGGTTCATCACTTACCTTTTTCAGTTTGGAGTTTTCTTGAACGGCACAGATTTCATTACTGCTTAAAGGCTTTCTGCAATCGCTGCGGGCAATTTCTACATCAATAAGGTATTCCAGACGATTTGTGACCTGTCAGTTAGCAATTGTGCAATTTTATTTTAAAAAGTTGTATTTTCTTTTAAAGTTTTAGCAAAAAAAAAAAATCACTTTCACTCGTGTCCTTTCCACTTTCTTTCCTCCCCCACCCCAGACAGAGCATTAGAAGAAGGCTGGGAAGCCCACTGCCTGGGGTCCTGTGCACACCAAGATCAGCCAGGACTCCGCAGCCTCCTGGAGCTGGAAGCTTGGGTAAAGGCTCCTCTCCAGTTTGTCACCTCATTGAAGGCAAGAACTTTTCATTCCATTTCCTGTCCCCAAGCCCAGGGCATGCTGCATGCTCAGTGAGGAGTGGTAGGAGAAGAACCATCAGCTCTCCAGGGCCTGAGATGCTCAGGTTCACACAGGCCTGACCAGCTGACAGCCCCCTCAGCCACATTAGGCCCCAGTCCCTCAGATTCCTGTGAAACCTCCCATCCTCTGGGGTTTCCCCACCCAAAACCCTCCCATCAGCTCAGACACAGTCCATAAGGAGCCATGAAGGCATGAGTTTGCCTGCCTTATTCTCTGCTGAGTCTTTAGTGAGTGAAACAGCAGTAGGTTTATAGCAGGACATCAGTATTTGCTGAATTCATTAGTGATTAAATGCAATCAAGGCTCCTTATGATGTCCATTTAAATCTGTTTTCATCTGGCATTAAAGGATTACAACAGGAGATGAAGGAGTGTCTGCTGGTTGGGTTCAGGTTCACCCAGACTCACCTTTCCTTATCAGACCTTTTCTCATGGCTAGCGCTCCCTTTGTCTCCCAACCTTAGCAAATAAATGAACATCTGATCTGCAGCTTGGGGTTTAAATGAGTTAGTCTATGCAGAGGACTTAGAACAACAGCCCAAGCATTTGTAGAAAGCACTCTGTGTGTTCGCTGCCTTATTGACACTATGCAAGCGTTTATGCTCTCCAGCACTCACATATTGAGGGTTTTTGCATACTAGTATTTTTCTCCTATGCCCACTCTTTAACTGTGCCGCCATATGCAAATGTCCACCTATATGGAGAGAGCACCTTTACCTGCAGCTGGGCTTGCAGTGTCCTGACCACCAGGAAGACGTACTTGTCCTCGCTCTCCCTGTTGTATTCTTGCATGGCAAACCACAGACACTGCCTCACGTTGGCATCTGAGGCGTTGGTGGGTTGTAGTTTCCTCAGCACCCCCTTCTCATCCTTGTTGGGGTCTTTCCTGGACACTAGGGCCAGGGGAATGGTGAGGAGAAGCAGGGAGAGCCACCGGCATCTAGGCATGGTCCTTCGGGCAAGAGGCACAGTCGAGTCTCCTTGTCTGTCCAGGGCTGGAGCTGCTGGCAGGATGCCGTGGTCGTGGCCACTGCTACAGGCTCAAGAACCTTCGTGTCACACGTTGGCTCCTCTTAGCGTAAGCCCAGCTGGATTCAAGACAGGGCCGTTAGGGTCACTCTTTGAGGTTAGCCCTCTCTTTCTCCAAGGAAACCCACCTAGGAATGCCAGTTAAGGAGTCTGTCTACCAGCCTCCCCTCCTTATCCTGAGAACTCCCCTCCCCGTAGGCCCCGAAGTGTCTGTGCCTACCCCTGTGCGCGTCACTCTTGTTATCTGCTTCTCAGTCCTGTATGGTGTGACCACGTAAACTCTGGCTGCCCCAGAGGCCTTGTGGCCTCAGCCCTCGGTGGACTCTCAGACTGCTCTGACTGCAGCTCCCACTTACTCCCTGTGGAGTTGGGTGCTGACCCGAGCCGTGGTTCTCGTGGGTCTCCGGCACGCTCAGTTCATGCCTGTGGCCCAGTCAAGGGGCTCTGGGGACGCTGGTCTCCAGTCTCCCTTGCCCTTCTGATTCCACGCCCTGCAGGGAGGTTACGCTTTGTGATGTAATCCAGCACCTGTGTCCTGCCCCAGTGAGGACACCTCCCACTGTGAGGACACTTCCCACTTGCCAACCTCTGGCCTTTGGTCCAAGCAGATCTCACAGGCCCACAGAGGGCAGGCAAATGCCTCCTGCTCTGTCCTCAGAGTTGGGGGGGTGGGGCCTGTGATGGTTAATACTGTCAACTTGATTGGATTGAAGGACACAAAGTATTGATCCTGGGTGTGTCTGTAAGGGTGTTGCCAAAAGAGACTGACATTTGAGTCAGTGGGCTGGGGAAGGCAGATCTCCCCTTAATCTGGTGGGCATAATCTAATCAACTGCCAGCAAATATAAAGCAGGCAGAAAAACGTGAAAAGGAGAGACAGGCCTAGGCTCTCAGCCTGCATCTTTCTCCTGTGCCGGATGCTTCCTGCCCTCGAACATCGGACTCCAAGTTCTTCAGTTTTGGGACTCCAACTGGCTCCCTTTGCTCCTCAGCTTGGCAGATAGCCTATTGTGGGACCTTGTGATCGTGAAAGTGAATACTTATAAACTCCCCTTTATATATAAATTATGTACATATATATATATATAGATGAGTTTATTAAGTTAATAATCATTATATATAAATTTTATATAAAGGGGGGTTTATTAAGTATTAACTTATGCTATATATACATATTAATTCTGTCCCTCTAAAAGAACCCTGACTAATACAGGGCCCCTCTGGTGTCTTCTGCCCATCTGTGCCAATGGCCCTGGTTTCCTGAATGCCTGGCTGCTGAACTTCCTGGGCTTGGGCCAACAGTACCCCCCTGCCCTGTCCTACCAGGGTAAGGGTCACATGGCTCACTCTGATGCCCAGGCCTGGCCCTCAGTGGGAGGAGGGGGATATGCACCTGTTTAGCTCTCAAAGCTTCTGTTTTTCTGTGAAAATCCCAAACCGGCATCCAAAAAATTCCTGATAAGGCAGAGAGGCGAGCATTCTTCCCAGGCTATGGGTTCCATGAGGAGGGGCAAGGCACAGGAAACACATATGGGCAGGAATCTGTCAGGCAGGTGCAAAGCATTGCAGAGTGTGAATGCATTATGCTGTATTTAAACTTTCTCCCCATAGGTGGATTCCTCGGTTGTTATTTTCATCTGTTTTAAACAGTATTGCAGTGAACAATCCCTTTCCAATATCTTCATGATGTTACACAAGTATTTCTGTACAATAAAAGACTAGATCAGAAATTGATGCAAAGCTTTATGCAAATCGAGCTTTATTATTTATTGCCAAAATGTTCGTCACTTAGTAATTATGTATTCATGGTTTTCAAATCCTGCTGCCTGCTAAAAATACTGAAGGAGTTTTGAAACACCAGGGCACACCTCATTGATAAAATCAGAATCTCTGGAAGAGGGTCCAGGAAGTCAGCTGTTTTTAAAGTTCCCCAGGGGTTCCAATCTGCAGCCAAGTTTGAAAACCACCGTTGGGTATCTGTGCTTTCTGATATTAAAGTGCACATGAACCACCTGGGACTCGTTAAAATGCAGGTGCTGAGTTTGTGGGTCTGAGGCAAGGCCTAGATCCTGCATTTCTAACCATCTCCCCGTGTGATCCAAATGCTGCCGATACTCGGAACTTAGTTTGATTAGAGAAGTATTGACCTGTGACAATCCCTGCTTCTTCATGTCTTCGCCTTCAGCCTAGCCTTCCTTTATGGGATAGGAGATGATTATGTTTCATTGATTTGATTTGCATTATTTGTATTATTGGTCAAGGTTAACCATGTTTTCATAGTGACCCATTGAGTCTGGGATCACGTGATCTGGGTCCCAGGATGCATTTAGAGCAGACTCCTTTGGTGAGGCCAGCTGTGACACCTTGAAGTGAAGCCAAGCTTCCTGGACCAGCCAAGGGGCAGTCAGCCTGTAGACCTATGTGCCTGAAAATGAAGGCTCACTGTGGTTAGCTACAGGAGAGGTGGTTTGTTATGCAGCACTTCTGGGTCAACAGCTGACTGATACACACACATTCACTGAACCAAAGCAGTATTTCTAGGTTTCAGACTTTGGAAAAGTATGTGGTGGTGGTTGATAACTTGATAAAATATCCAAATAAATTTTTACTTCCTACTGATTCAGGCCACCTAATGACAGAGCCAAATTCAGAGAGATTTCTCCAGGACACGAGATGGACTTGTGGATTCTGGATGATCTTGGATATTGACATATTATTCAAAAATCCACTAATTTGAGTTCATCATATAACTAACAAGAGTGGCAGGCACAAAATTTACCAACCCTACCAAAGCTCCTTACATAGCTCATGACGGCCGGACACTACCAGCTCGTGAAATCTGCAATAGGGTCATGTTTTTTAATTTCTGAGAGAGCAGGAACTAAAGAACACAGGCCATAGACAAAATACACAACTGCAGTAAACACAACTTCTAAGGTATTCGAGTACCTTAAAGAACCATTTCACAGCCATAGCCCCAAGTGCCAACCACCTGAAGACTTCATGTATTTCTTCATGTATACTTCATGTATTCAGGCCAAAATTTTCTTTTGCCCTACAGATAGGGGTAATGCCTGGTCCCTAAGAGAAGTGCAAAATGAAAGCAGTAGGATTTTGTGTGGATCAAGGTAGAAAACAACTGGCAAATTTGAAAAAGAGCAGGACACCCGACCTTTCTTGTGAACTTGGAATTGAAAGTAAAGGTGCTTCCATCAGCAAGCAATGCTGACCAGAGCTCAGGTAGGGTGTGGCTGTACTTGTCCAGAACAGTGAGGTCCATGAACAGGAGCTCCACCCATCCCAGCCTCAGTGCTCTCAAAGCCAAGGGCCAGCAATGGATTTGTTTGGCTAACGATGCAGACACGCCCTTGGTAATATAAATGTGCCCTATCAAATCGTGGAGGGATGTCACACACAAATCCTGCACACAGGCTGGTCAAAGACCAAAGCTGTCCCATCTTTTTGCCACGACAGATGGAGCCACCCAAAGCTGTTTCTGAAAATTCTGTCTCATAAATGACAAATTCGTGGTAATGAGCCAACCAGAAAAAAAGGGCAGACTTCTTACCAAGAAATATTCAGATCACCCCCAAAACCAAGGATGGAGATGGAAAGACCCCCTAGCCCTTTCATTCCAAAAGACTCCTCCAGAAACTGCTGAACTGTCTCTTTGCTCAACGCATGCGCCCCACCACACCATCCCCTCATCTTTCTACCCCTCGAAGGCTGTTCCCCCACCAAGACCCCAGCAGAGAGATGGGTGTCTGTCACCATAGTGCTTCTCCCAGGGGCAGTGAGTGGTACTGGCAGCCATGAAGCCCTGGCTGGGTCCCAGATGGGTAACACAGGCATCAGGAGCAGGTGGGGAATGGGGACTGGAACTGCCATCTTCTAAGCTCTGGAGAAGACATCTGAGCCCTGGAGAAGACATCGCTGTGCTTCATGCAGCCCTCAGGGTCCACAGAGAGCAGAGCTTCCTGTCAGCTTCAGTGACCTCCTCTGACCCCTGGGTCTGGGCCTGGCCCCTCTGCTGAAGGGCCACCCACGGTGAGTCCGTCCCTGAGATGGAAACAGAGGTGACACGTGTGGCTAACAAAATGTGCTACATTCCTTTTGAGTGATGAATGAAAGTACAGGGAAACTGGAGAAGAAAGGAAGGCAGGAAGGAAGGAAAGAAGAGAGGAAAGGAGGGAGGATATGGAGRAAAGGAGAAAGGGAGGAAAGGAGAAAGGGAAGGAAGGAGGAAGGGAGGGATGGAGGAAGGGAGAGAGGGAGGGATGGAGGATGGGAGGGATGGAGGAAGGGAGGGATGGAGGAAGGGAGGGATGGAGGATGGGAGAGAGGGAGGGAAGCAGGAAGGGAGGGATGGAGGAAGGGAGGGATGGAGGAAGGGAGAGAGGGAGGGATGGAGGAAGGGAGGGATGGAGGAAGGGAGGGATGGAGGAAGGGAGGGATGGAGGAAGGGAAAGAGGGAGGGATGGAGGAAGGGAGGGATGGAGGAAGGGACGGATGGAGGAAGGGAGGGAGGGAGGGAAGGAGGGAGGGAAGGAAGGAGGAAGGGAGGGATGGAGGAAGGGAGGGATGGAGGAAGGGAGAGAGGGAGGAATGGAGGAAGGGAGGAATGGAGGAAGGGAGGGATGGAGGAAGGGAGGGATGGAGGAAGGGAGGGATGGAGGAAGGGAGAGAGGGAGGGAAGGAGGAAGAGAAGGAGGAAGGGAATAGAAGAATGGATGGATGGATGATGAGCGCACAAACCAAGCGGTGGGACCCCTATAGGAACTGCCTCAAATCAATCAGAAAGTTTGATTTATTTAACATTCTGCATCTGCAACCAAAGTAACAACGATGATAATAAATTTTCCATTGCTCATCAATGGCTTATAAACAATACAGGAGAATGAAAACTCCTCAGGGATGCAGAAAGTTCTCTGAAATGCCTTTAATTCTGCCGGGCTGCACAGATCTGGGACTACAGACTGTCACACTCTAGACGAAGAGGGGGTTTCTGCTGCGAAAATCCATGGGCTCTGTCACCACCTTCTCTCCCCACAGGTGCTGTTCAGGAGGGTAAACTGGGAAAACCACCACTGAACATCTACTATAAAAGTGCAGCGCACCTGAAAAAGAAACCGTAACATACAAATCACAAAATGTAAGCATTGAGAGAATCTGGCATGCAATAGGGGGTCAAGATGTATTAAAAACTACAGATGTAAACAAATCAAAAGCAAAAACAGTCACCCAGGAACAGGGCTTGAAATGCCCAAGGCTCCAGCAGGACAAGGGGCGCAGGTGGCTGAATCCTCCCACATGAGCCTGGGGATTTCTGAAGGGATGCCTGTTTGGGCCATCACCTGACCCCTGAAGCATCCTGTCCACTCACAGCTTCCTCAGAGCACATGAGGATGGATGAGGCGCCCCCACCCTGTGTGTTCTGAGGGAGACCATGGCCTTACCAAAGGGATGGCCCTGCCAGTCACTCACCAACTGAACAGCAGCAGCAAACCCACCCCAAGGGGAGGGTGCCCCTGAGGTTGGAGGTGGGAGGGTGAGATCAGCCCCACTGATCCCGTAACTCTGATTCAGGGCATCCCCAAGCTCCAACATCCCATGGATCACATATGGGTCCTGGGAGGATGGTGTCAGAACTCAGACTGACAGGGACACGTCCTTACTTACTACACAGGAACTAGAGGGATAGGTGGGGTGATCAGAGAAGGTAGGCAGTCATCCAATCCCCAAGAACATGAGCAAAGAAGAGTGAGGACCACGGGGAGAACACCATCTGCCTGGATCTCGAGGGTCTCAGGAAGGTACAGGGCTGGGACCCAGAGTGAGGACTCCCTCCAGAGACATAGGCCCTGTGGAATCTGCAAGTGCCTGTGTCCAGTCAGCTGGGCTGTGGGCAGAGGGCTCTCCCTGGCATTGAGGGCCAGGCTCTGTCAAATGCCCGCCTTCTGCCTTCACTGAACGAGCCCTGACTCCAGGTGGGAGAGTGTCAGGGACTGTCATTCTGCCCAGGATCACCCTGGGTGCCTTTCCTAAGCCTCCTCCCAAAGGCCCGCCTTGACATTTTTCATTCCTGAGAGATTCATGATTTGGATTGATTTTATTCTCAAACCATTTTCTCTTCTGTTCCTTCTTGCAATGGGCAATTGTCAATGTCTTCATCGTGTTTCTTACAAACGGTACGCCCCATCGTCAAGTCCATTAAATATGTCCATGTCCATGACTGTCAAGAAGAAATTGAAGACACTTATATGAAATACTCTTTTTGGAATGAGAAAAATAGAATCAAACAGAAAAGTTGCCAGAAAAGGTGAATGTTAACATTCATGCTAATAAAGATATACATATCATGTGCAATCTTTCTTCTCTTATTTCTTATTTCAAGTTTCTTTTTTACAATTTTTCTATTAATTCTCCATTTTTCTACAAAAAAAAATATCCATTCGCTACACCAAAAGCATGCGTTAGAGTCTTTCTGCAGTACTCTTCCTGATGTACGGTACCTGGCAGTCACATTGACAGGGGGATGAATACACAGGGTGTGGACCATCGCATGATTGAATCCTACACAGCAGTGCAGGCCGTGTACACAGAATGGCACTATCCCTTGGAAGACAGATCTGGGCAGTAACCTGGGGTGGGGACTCCTGGGGGCTGCAATGTTGTGTCCTTTATGTGAGTGAAGACTTCATGAAAGCGTTTATTTTGCAAATATTAATTGAAGTAAATATGAAGTTTGCTGTTCTGTGTGTTTATTAGGATGCTATAAAAAGTTATTAAAAGTTATGGTCATTTCTGTAAATAGAAGTTCATGAAACTCAGGAAACATCCAGAGAGAGAGAAATCAAATCCAACCAGGAAATCTTCCCAGGCTGGAACTCACATCTCTCCTGAAATTTGTCTAGGAAGCAGAAATCCCTTGGGGATAGCAATCCATGCAAATGACAGTGATACCCACTCATGCCCCAACATACATGACCTACACACTCACACACTTATGCTCCAACACATCAGCACACTCATGCACACTCATGCCCCAACATACACCAACACACTCACACACGCATGCCCCAACACACATCAACACACATGCACTTATGCCCCAACACACACCAACAACACAAATACACTCATGCCTCAATACACACCAACAATACACACACACACACGCATGCCCCAACACACATCAACACACATGCACTTATGCCCCAACACACATCAACAACACACATACACTCGTGCCTCAACACACACCAACACACACACACTCATGCCCCAAAACACACCAACACACATGCACTCATGCCCCAACACACAACACACACAGTCATGCCCCAACACACATCAACACACACACTCATGCACCAACACACACCAACACACACTCATTCCCCAACACACACCAACACACATATATTCATGCCCTAACACACAACACACACACTCGTGCCCCAACACACTCACACACACTCATGTCCCAACGCATACCAACAACACATTCACATGCACTCATGCTCCAACACACTCACTCACACACTTATATGCCAACACAACACACACACACTTATGCCCCAACACACACCAACACATTCACACATTCATGTCCCAACATATCAACTCCACACTCACACTCATTTATGCTTCAGCACACACCAATACACACTCACATACACATTCATGTCCCAACACACAACATACTCACACACTCATGCCTCAACACATTGATACACACTCATGCCAACACACCAACACACACACTCATGCCCAACACACACCAACACACGCACACACACGCTCTGACACCAACACACTCACATGCTCATGCCCAACAAACACAAACTACACATTCACATGCACACTCATGTCACAACATACCAACACATACACACAGGCTCACGCCCTAACATACCAACTACACATTCACATCTATGCCCTGACACACACCAACACATACACTTGTGCCCAATCACAAACCAACACGCTCACACTCATGTCCTGTTTTCAGGGGCTACCCTCATAAAGAAGCAAAATAGAAAGCTGAAGCTCTCCTAATGACACCTTACATTTAAATTATATGATTATATGCATATTTTCAGAATTTAGAAAGCGGTTGCCCTTTCCTGCAGACCAAGAATCCACCCAGCCCTGGTCTGACGCCGAGGAACTCAGGGTTCATGGGGAGAGACAGTAGCCACTCACCTTGCGCTGGCTCCGGTGGACCCCCAGAAACTTGTAGGCAAACTCATCCTCCTGGTCCTCATTGAACTGAAACACAGCATACTCCACAGCACTGGGGAAATAATCCAAGTTCTTATCAGTGTCTACAAATTTGCAGCTGCAGACATGTGTTCCCAGCACAATGAACCCCACAAGCAGGGGCACCTTCCACCACATGGCTGTCTCGAGTGTTGGCACCGGAGGCTGGGAGCGCTCGGTGGAGGGGAGGTCACCACTGCTGCCTGTGACGTCCTTCCCAGCTCTGACCCCACACAGCACTGCGCAACAGGGGCCCTGAGCCGTGGAGTCTCCCTTTGACTGGTCCCTCTGTCCAGTGCCTCTTTCCACTCCCCCACAGTGTTCCTCCCATCGTCTCCAAACAAGGCCAACAGGAGGCCACATAGCCTTGGACACACAGGTATGCATGCAACACACATGCCTACACGTTTTCAGGACCACCTCCTCTGGCCCCAGCCTAGCCCTGACACGACTGGGGTGAACGTCTCCAGCTCACCTGCTTTGCCTTCACGGGGCTGCATCCCGCGACTGGCAGAGTGATGGGAATGCTTAGGAATGATAATGAGCAGAGTCCTGAGCAGCTGGGGGAAGAGCCGTGTCTGCCTGTGACCCTGGCTGTATAGTCCATGACCTCAGGGAGCTATGGGGGGTTACAGAGGGAAGAGCCGTGTCTGCCTGTGACCCTGGCTGTATAGTCCATGACCTCAGGGAGCTATGGAGGGTTACAGAGGGAGGGGCCAGTGTTGGGGGCTGGGCCATCCTCTCCACCCTCTCTGGCACCTACTGGCCAGCTTGCCAGGTCCCCCTCCTGCCCTGTGGCCTTGCAACACCTGCTCTCAGCAGGGGCCAGAGAGAAGCCAAGTCTAAGGCCAGGGCCCTGCTAGGATGGGAGTGGAAGGCAACCGTGACGATGAGAAGGGGTCAGGAGCTGGGAAGAAGCCCTGGGGGGCACTAGACAGCTCGTGTTCTCAGCCAGCTCTGCCTCTTTGTAGTTCCCTAGGCCCGTGCCCAGCCAGTGTCAGACTCTCCTCAGAGGAACTGACCTGAGCTCTGTGTGGCTTCTGGGGAAGCCACCGGGAGGTAAACAGAGCCAGGAGATGAGCGGGCTGGGAGGGTGTGGAGGTGCCTGCGCCAGGTCTGGATGCACTAATGTGCACAAAGGGACCGTGCTGGAGCAATGACCCTACCTTGCCTGTAGGGCATGTAGACTGATGATCACAAAAAATGTCTCAGAGCTTAGGCCACTGCCTTGGGGACCGGTAGTAAGGGCAGGACTAGGGCTGACACAGGAATAGATGGGAATGTGACCAGAACGGTGGGCACAGTTATGACCGTCTTCTTGCGGCTTCTCGATGGGAGGAGACCCAGAGGCTCAGGTGCACTTCCACACAGGACTGGCCTGAAAGTGGCTGGCAGGTGAGGGCCTGAGGAGCACAGCGGCCCCCTCGGATGGATCACCCTCAAAGTGTGCCTGAGCCCCCGTGTGTCCTCCCGACAGAGAAGCTGCAGCTCCCAGTTCTTGTTCATCTTCGCCATAGCTGCCAGCAGTCTGATTAAAATGTATCGTTGTTGTGTTCGGACGTCAGCAGGGCCCGTCCTGAGGCCCCTCCTCACTGCTGGTGTGGATTGCGATTGCCTTCTCCAGTTCCAGCCCTCCCTTGCCCAGGGTTAGAGGTTTTATTAGATCTTCAAAAAATTAACTGTTGGGTTTCTTGATCCTTGCTGTCTATCTTTGCTTTCTCTTTCACCCAACTATGCCTTTTTGCTATGACTTTCTTCTCTCTTTTTCCCCCAGCTCAATTTGCAATTCCCTGATTCTTGAGCTCGAAGGGGCGTTGCTGGCCTGTTCATTCTCTAGCGTGCGCATTTCTAGATCAGGAGGTGACCCTCAGAGCATGGCATCAGCAGCATCCTGTACGTTTATCACTCAGGTTTCAGCTCCAGTGTTTTAAAAGTACAGCAATCCCCAGTCTGCAATGGGATTACTTCTTTAGCCCGTGTGTTACTTAGAGGTGCGTAGCCAAGTTTTCAAACATTTCTGCCCTAATTTCTACCTAAATTTCACTGAGAATATATTCTGTGTGATTGAAATTCATTAAGAATACGTTCAATTGGGATAAATGCTCTATCCGCTCAAAAAAGTGAATGTTCTCTAGTTATTGGATGATATTCCATAACAGAAGATCAAATACGCTTAGTGAGCTCTTAAATTTTTTGAGCCTCTTCTGAGTTTTACTTGGTGGGTTCTGGCAATTCTTAAGAGAGGTGCCTGAAACTCTCCCATGAGGATGATGGCATTGCTGGTTTTCCTTGTAGCCTTGGCGTGTGTTACTTTATGTATTTTTAGGCTGTGATAAGAGTGGGCACCACAGATAAAACTGTTGTAACTTCAATAATCAAGCAAGGCTGCGCCTTTAGCTCCCCAAGGCCATGTTTCTAATTTCGTAGAACCAGCAGAAAGAGAGGCTGCAGTCAGAATTGGTCACCCCTATTTTCACCAAGGTGCCCAACTAGAGGCTCATGAGAATCATCAAAGGAAACTCTCAAATAACCCAGCATCTGAGCCTGAATGCTAAAGAGTGTGGCATGAACACTGAAAGCCACCTGGTGCACTTAAGTGCATCTGAGCTCAAATTATAACTTTAAATTGAAAAAAGAGCAGGGTACTAGGCCTTCCTTGTGAACTGAGAATTGACGGTAAAGGTGCTTCCGCTAGCAAGCAATGCGAACCACAACCCACTGCACTCGTCCAGAACAGCAGGCATGAGGTCATGCACAAGGGCTCTACCCCTCACAGCCTGAGTGCTCTCAGAGCCAAGGGCCAGCAATAGATTGGCCTTGCTGGCCACACAGACACACCCTTGGTAATATAAATATGCCCTCTCAAATTGTGAGGGGATGTTACAAATTCTGTACACAGGTTGATCGAAGGACCAAAGCAGCCCATCTTTTTACCATGACAGATGGAGCTGCCCAGGGCTGGTTCTGAAACTTCTGTTCCATCAACTCTTATGGGAAATTCATGGGAACGAGCCAGCCAGGAAAAAGGCAGACTTCTTACCAAGAAATATTCAAATCAAAGTCCCCAAAAACCCATGATGGAGGAGGAAAGACTCCCCAACATGTCAGGTCTGAAAGATTCCTCCAGAGGGCTTTGCATTGCCTTGCATTTCTGGCCCACCCCTGTAACCCTTCCCCCAGACCCTTATCTCTCTGCCCCTCCAAGGCTGCTCCCTGCCAAGACTCCAGTGGAGAGACCTGCTCATCAGGATGGGTGTCTGTCACCACGGTGTCCCTCCCAGGGGAAGTGAGTGGTGCTGACAGGTATGAAGGCTCGGCTGAGTCCCAGCTGGGGAACATATGCACCAGACAGGGCATGGGGCACATGGGGACTGGAGGTGCCATCTTCTGAGCCATCATCTGAGCACTAAAGAGGACATCCTTGTCATTCATGCAGCCCTCTGTGTCCACAGAGGGCAGAGCCTCCTGTCAGCTTCAGTGACCTTCTCTGACCCCTGGGCCTGGGCCTGGCCCCTCTGCAAAAGAGCCACCCAATGTGAGTCTGTCCCTGAGATGGAAACAGAAGGATCATGTGTGGTTAACAAAATTTTTGGCATTTTTTTGAGTAGATGGATGATGTCATAGAGAAATGGAAAGGTGAATGAATGAATGAGTGGATGAATAAATGAAAGAATGGATGGATGGATGGAGGGATGAGCACACCAACCAACCAGTGGGGCTCCTACGTGAACTGCCTCAAATCAGCTGGGGAGCTTTGTTTATTCAACACTCTGCGCCTGCCGCCAAGGTAATGGTGATAATAAACTCTCCCTTGCTTGTCACTGCCAGCAACATCCACGGCAAATGAATAATAGGAAAGAGTGCAAAGCTGTTTACAGACTCAGCAAGTGCTAAGATGCCTTCAATTCTGCCAGTGCAGCATCGGCCTAGAACTACAGACTGCCACACGCTAGAGGAAAAGAAGACTTCTGCCGTGGAAAACCAGGGGCTCTGTCACCGCCTGTTTCTGCATTACTGGTGCTGTTCAGGAGGTTGAACTGGGAAAACCAAGGTCTGGCATCCATGACAAAAGTGCAGTGTACCTGAAAAAAGTAATTATAACACACAAGTTAGAAAAATGCAATGCACTGAGAGCATTTAGCATGTAGTAGGGGGTCAAGATGTATTAAAAACAATGAAAAATGAAAAACAAAAACAGTCACCCAGGAACAGGGCTTCAAATGCCCAAGCCTCCACCAGTACAAAGGGCACAGGTGGCCAAATGTTCCAGCCTGAGCCTGGGGATCCTGAAAGGACGCCTGGTTGGGGCATCACCTGACCCCTGATGCATCCTGTCCCCTCACAATCTCCCTCGCACACATGACGCTGGATGAACTGCTCCCACCCTGTGTGTTCTGGGGGAGAGAGAGGACTTCTCAAGGGATGGTCCCTCTGGGCAACCACCAACTGAGCACAGTGGTTGACAACAAGGCTGCAGGTGGAAGGGGGAGATCAGCCTTGCGCCCCTGTTATGCTGATTCAGGGCATCCTCAAGCTCTGAGCTCACACGGATCACGTATGGGTCGTGGGAGGATGGTGTCAGAACTCAGACTGACCGGGACACATCCTTACCACACAGGAACTAGAGGGACAGATTGGGTGATGAAAGAAACTAGACAGTCCTCCAATCCGCAAGAACATGAGCAAAGAAGAGTAAGGACCACAGGGAGAACACCATCTGCCTGGATCTCGAGGGTCTCAGGAAGCAAAGTGAGGACTTCATCCAGGGACAGAGGCCATGTGGAATCTGCAGGTGCCTGCTCTGTCCAGCCAGCCTGGCTGTGAGCACAAGGCTCTCTCTGGCATTGAGGCCAGGCTCTGTTTGCTTACATGCCCACCTTCTGCCTTCAGGGAAGGAACCCTGACTCCAGGTGGGAAAGGGGGTCAGGGACCCTCATTCTGCCCAGGAGCACCTCTGATGACCTTTCTAAGCCTCCTCCCAAAGGCCTACCTTGATGTTATTTTCCATTTTTGAGAGATTCAAGATGCTTTGGGGTTGATTTTATTCTCAGACCTTTTCCTCTCCTGAGCCTTCTTGCAATGGGCAATTGTTAATGTCTTCATCGTATATTTTACAAATTGTGTGGCCCATCTCCAAGTCTATTAAAAATATCATTGTCCACATCTGTCAAGAAGAAATTATACAAACAGCTGCTAAGTATTTTGTTTTCATGAATTAAAAAAAAAAAGGCAGAGAAACAAGTAGGAACGTGGAT